AAAAAAAAAAAGAAGAAGAAGAAGAAAATAGTTTTAACTGTCATTTAGGAATGCTTTACCCTCAACTTCCCATGGGCAGCTCTCAGGAATTAAGGCACAGAGAGATGGAAGAAGGTTTATGTGGAAAGATCAGAGGCCTAGAGAAGCTAAGATCTCTTGAGGCCTTTTCTAAATTATAGAAAATTGGTGGCATTTGAACAAGTCACCCTGATTAATATCCAACACCTTTGTCTTAAGCACTGTTTTCCCCTCCAGTTCTATACAGGAAATAACAGGTACTATTATTCCCAAGTGGCTTATAAATTTTCTTTCTTTTTTAAAAACTGGGCATCTAACCCAGGCAAGCAAGCACTCTACCCCTGAGCTACACCTCAGCCCCTCTGTTGGGTATTAACTGATACTGTTTACATTCTCTTGTCCAATATGGAAATACTGAAACATGAGACTTTGTAACACTGCAGAATGAGAAAAGGCTATGTGAACACACACACACACACACACACACACACACACACAAATCCAAGAGTAGATCCTGGCGTTAACCACCTTCAATTTTTAAACTTATCAAATGACATCTAAAAAAAATAAAAACATTCTGCTGGCATGTTTAAATTGCTTATAAAGCAATTGATAGAGTTAACCACTGTTGTAATCAAAGAAGCAATCAAAGATGAATGCTGCTTAGCCCTACTCACAAGGCAGTGAAAATAATTGACACTATTGAGCATGTGCTATTGCTTAATACAATAATACTATAAATTATCATACACCTAACAAAGTATTTCACAAATAATTTGCAGAGGTTGGCCTAAGGCTATTTTCTCAGCAGCGCTAACTTTCATGCTTATGACAAAGTATTTGTAGGGGAGGTAACAATCTCCAAATTTCAAAAAAGTGCTTTGCAAGGAGGAGTTGTTATTAGGGAATACAGCATAATGATTTTAAAATTCTAATTATTTTTCTCATCTCAAAAGGACTGCATGAATTGCAGAAATTAATGAATGCAGAGACATAAAAGAAGAAGAAAAATGAAACCATAATCTTCTCTCCAAAGATAAAACCATGGTTAACATTTTATGTTTTTCCTGCTAGCATATATGTGCTTGTCACAGAAAGGGGGGTCATACTGTGTACATTGTTTGGTAAATGATTTCTTCACTCAGTAACAAATCTTGGATTTCCAAGTCAAAATCATTTTTCTACAACATCAATTAAATGACCATGTTGTTATCTATCCTAAATATCCTATCATTAAACATTTAGGGTTTTTTTTTCTAAGTTTTATTTTATAAGCAATGCCACCCTGAACAACTTTATCAGTAAAATTCTCTTCAGATTTTCACTTTTACTCTGAAATATATTTCTGGGAGGGAGGAGTTTGGTAAGATTTATCTGTAATGCATTAAATTTTCCTCTATCTTCTTCTTCCTTGTTTACTTTCTTCCATTTCCTGTCTTTTGTAGATTATTCAAAACCTAAACCATTTAGAGCCGTCATGGAGCAACAGTGGGTGCCCAGACACTTGGGTAAGGCCCTGAGAAATGAAGTGAGCCCACACCGTGACCCAGGGTAGAGTTCTCCAGGCATGTCCTAGCAGGACCCTTTTCACAAGGTGATGGTTCACCTCTCATTGCTTCTTCCCAGCTGAGCTTAGATTTCTGGATCCCCATGGTGGTGGTTAGCAACATCCCTGGAGTGGTCAGGAGATGGGAATTCCTGTTCTAGGGTCCTCGGACACACACACAGCAGGATGAGGCTGGCTGACTTGTTAGGAAGAGCAGTAGGAACAGGGAAAGACAAGTAGACAGCTCATCATGCTATGTCTCCACCACCACACCTGCAGCGCCGAGGGTTGCGGTAAGGGTGGGGCCGCTGGAGCTACAGGGTTTGCATCCATTGTCTTTGAGCCAAGCAAAGCCGCCATGTGGAGGGTTCCCCTGCAGAAAGCTTGCCGAACACTGGGCCAAATGGCACTTTCTCATGGCTTCACAGAAGACAGCATCGCATGAAGGCGAGCCAGGGCCACAGACAGAGAGGAAAAGAAGACAGGCATGCAGTGGAAGAAAACCAAATCAACATAGTAAGAAAGGAAAGCGGGGTGGAAAAAGAGGAGGGTTCAACACTTCAAGCCCATGCGGTGGTTTTCACAGTGTGCTGATCTGGCATCTAGTTTGGAGAGGATGATTTCATGGTCTATGTGAGAATAAGGGGCATTTTTACTGAAAAATGCAAAAAAAAAATTATTTTCAGTTGTTAAATCCATGTCAGTTCTATGGCTAAAGTTAATCTCTGGTTAAATGTTAACACTTCAGTTATCCCGAGGGAAAAATGACTGACCCCCAACCTTCTCCTTTCCCAGCATTCGGAGAAAATAAGGGATTAGGTAAAAATGCTTTCATTTTTCCTCATTCTCCATTGTGGGTAAGGGTTCCTGTAATAGTTGGAAACCATTTTTAACAAGAAACCCAAGTAAATCCAGAAGAAATTCACTCACAGAGATTACCTTTTACTAGAAAATGAGAATTATTTACTAAAAATTGAGAAGTTTCACCTCTCTCCACCTTTCTCCCCTCTTACTTCTCCTCATCTCCCTCCCACTACTCTGGTGGAAAATGACTGTGGTGAATTGGGTTGAAATCTTGAGCAAGATGGGACACCTCTATATCCAAGAGATGCCACCAAGAGACTACATTTAGTTGCTCTATCCCCACAGAACAGAATTTTAATTTTCTTAGACTGTAAAACTGATCACATTTACTGTCGATGGGTTGGGAACTACAGTGAGGTGATATTTGGGGAGGATCCACTTATTCAATGGTGTTATTCCCATTTATAATGTGATCTTCTGCTAAGTATTTGCTTTCTAAAATCTATTCCCTCTCAGGATTCTTTCCCACTCAGTCCTTTTAGAAGATTGACACAAACATTTCCAATGCAGTTCCATAGAAAGTCTTGTTCCTGACCGTGGGAGAGCTTTGTTAGGTGATAGGAACATAAGGCTGTGGGTCTCTTAACTAACATTACTGTTCCAGAATACCAGTGCTTTCCATCTGTGAGTCCTGATCTCTCTCCACTCCTCCAGATGCTCAGCATCCATGACTCTTCTTTCCTCTGCTCAGGTCACATATGTGGAGCTGGAAAGGATCCCTGATGATTGGCAGTGACGATGGTGGAACGTAGAGGTGAAGTTAACACCTTCACGGCTACAGATTTTCCTTAGCAGAGCTGTGGAGTGTGACAATGGTGTTTGTGTCCAAGCTGTCAAACGCCATTATCACACTAAATAGCTACTGCTAGGCAATCCTTCCACTCAATGTAAGTCGTGGCAACTGTTTGGTCTGGGCAAGAGGGCTCATCCTATACCAGCCCGTGTTCTCTATCATGTGTGATTTAGAATAAAGTCTGATTCTCTTGTGGTCATTATTGTATGCCTGCCTAAACCCTGCCTCTCACATGCTGTTGTTAAATAGATGATAATTCTGACAGTAATGAAAAAACACCTCAAAGTCAGTTTCTCCTATTGTACAGTCACAACAAAAATTACTTTTGGCACAGATGTGCGAGGGTCTCTCCCCAACAAGCAAGCAGTCACTTCCACAGCAGACTCCATCCGGGAGTCCTCTAATCTAGTTCTGCTCTGACACTCTACCTGGAGACACTGTTACACCCCACAGGGTGAAGTCTCAGTCCTCAAGACAGCACCCCATTCAGATGCCAGGCACAAGCCACAGATTGTTTTCCCTGTGCTTCTGACTTACAGTCTGTAAATCAGGGTTCCCACGTTGTCTCCTTGAGCTCAACTCAAGGAGCTGCTTGAGCAGCTCACAGAACTTAGGGAAAGATATATGTACCTTTAACAGCTTATTATAAAGCAGATGATAAAGGCTACAAATGAAGAGATGCACAGAGGAGTTTAGGGGGAATGTAGAGCTCTGAGAATCCTTCTAAGAGTGTGATCCCCCGGGACCCTCCGTGGGTTCAGTTACTTGGAAGCTCTCTGAACTCTGTCCTTTTGGGGTTTTAAGGAGACTTCATTGCATACACATGACTGAAACTTGTAAAGCCATGTTGAAATGTGATTGGATGAAAAAGGACGATCTAAAGAAATGACTAGGTGAGAAAACTCAGTAAGGCCTGTCTGTCCAGATTCTTAGCCTCTCTGTGCAGCATTCCATTCTTGTGGGCCTGAAGCAGCACCCCGTCCCTGTGAAGAGGTTCAAATGACAACTATCACATGAGGAAGGTTGGAGTTTCAAGCCAGGAACTGCGGTTCAAAGTAGATAACCAAACTAGATGTAAATCATAATATCACAGTGACAATGAATTTTCTTATTTTCATCGCTTCTCGCCCTTTTGGCTAAGATCAAGTGTAAAACTTCTTATTTTCCTCAAGTCAATAGAAAGATTGGGGCACCCAACACAAGGTTAGGCACCTGACAATCATTCAACTCATGCATATTGCATTGAAATGAACGGTTAGGAAAACAGGAAACTAAAACTGGGTTAAATCTAGTTTATGCAAACAACAGCCTCATAGGTGATAAGTTAAGGTATGTGGGTCTTCCTCTTTAAAAAAAAAGATTCAATTAAAAAAACAACAATAAACTTGTCCATAACTTAACTGGCCTTTTGGAAATAACAGAACATGTTTGATTTCTACTTATTTTAACCAATTACCAAGCAGATTACTCAATTTGTATGCTAATTTCTTCTTACTTATGTTTCACTGAATTGCCATTAGAAAAATTATATATAAACTATGTATAAGCTGCCAGAGCAAATCTGAACATTTTAAAGCCATGCAGTTTCTGGGACAGTTGGCCCGGCTGGGTGGTCTGGTTTGGAACACAGTCTCTCTCTGAGGGCATCTAAAGTAACAAGTAGATTCTGTGTGTGGGCTAAAGCTTCTCTCCTGTGTCTTGGCTACATAATCTAGGATATGTTTAATCAAATTGACAGGATTGGATCAACTGTTAGAACCAAATTCATCCAATCAATCAACAATCATTTATCAAATAAATATGAGCACACGGACTCCCATGTAGCTGGCACTGTCCTAGGCCCTGGAAAAATTTTTAAATTGAATGTGTGTCTGGCATTGTTTCCAGAGATAGACATTCACTGGCTCACATTCTGTTATGATGGGATAATTCTAATGGTCCCAATTACATTTAGTACAGAATCCAAGGAACAAAACTTTGCAAACTAATTCCAAGTCCCTTGCTGGAAAGCACCACTGAGTGCAGCCCACACAGCTAGAATCTACTGAAAAAGTTTCAAGGTCAGGAGAAGTTATTGTCCAGAGAAGAAAGGGAAGTGCATTTCTGCCTGCCCTCATTTCCACCTCCCATTTCTTCCCTTCTGGCATCCTCAACCATCAAGAGGAGATCTAGACACCCCCCGCAAATAATTCATACACTGACATTCTTTCTAATGGGTGTTTTTAGAGAAAGCACTATTGACAAGCATCGATTGAGGGCTTTATTGTTATACAAATCGCTTCCATGAACACTGTTTCATTTGACCCATATAACACAGGGCAAAGATGGCAGGATATAGTCTCCCCTCCCGCAGAAGGAAAATGAAGATTCCAAATGGTTTTGAACCATCTGGGTATGTAACCATAACTCAACACAGTCCTCTTAAGTCTAAAGTTCTGTGCTTTATTTATATCCTTCCTTGGGCAGGTTATTTCATGCTTCATGGCTGAGTCTATGTAGAAACTAGGTTAATCATACCCCTATTTGATCAATATCTTCAGCTTCCCATCTGCTTTGTTGATGGATTCTGATGGAAAACCCACAAATAAAAGAGAGATGAGTCATATAACAATCTTCCCTTGTGAACACTCATAATGCAGAGAAAGCCTAATATTGCAAAACACTGCAATGGAAAAATAAAAGAGAAGCAACACCTGTGTGGCAGTTTGGGGGTGAACAAGGGGGTGGCCAAATTGTGCAGACATGGAACAGCTATTCTAGGAATCTGGCCAACTGAGGCAGCACTGGATCATTCACTGCTCAGACTGGAGGGTGGTGTGACCGCTTGGCCTACACACTCTTCTCTGCTGTACTCGCCCCAAGAGTTTGCTCATATGGAACTAAACTGGGAGCAAATGGAATAGCATTCTATATTATAGCCTTTTTTTTACCAGCTCTGCTCATTGTATAGCTTATTATGACTGCTGCATGGATTAATTCTGCATTCAAGATTGGATGTCTGTTCTTTCTGTATATCTCTCAGGAACACACATAGAAGACAGAGCATCCACATTCCCACTTTAAAGGCACTTTTAATACAATCCTGCTGCTCCAAATCTCCAACGACAGTTTCCTTTCCTGAACCAGCTTTCATCTCCTTTTCAGCCCCAGGGATATGGCCAGTCATTTCCAATAAAGCATTCCTGGGGACAGTTACTGACGCCAATGTGATTTACATGCTGAAAGGGCCAACTAAGCCATGCAGTTAGAATCACACTGGAGACGGGGCAGTTGAACCTCCCTTTGCTTTGTGGATCATGCCAGTGAGGTCCTATGCATTCTTCCATTTTGGTACAGTGTGTTGCATGAATGTGACAATGACAACTTAAGGCCTGCCCTACTTTTTTTTTTTCCTCCTCCAGGAGAGGTTTTGTGAAGTCATAGCACAGTTACCATATGTCAATCGCTCATCCACACATTTTTTTCTGAATTTTTCTTAAATCTGTAAAACTTTCCACTTATACACTTCCTAGAGAAAATAATAGAATTCTAGAGCTGGAAACCAGTTTGCCTTTTGTCCTGGTGAGGAAATGGAAGGACAAGTATTGCAGAATTCTCCAGTTTTTACACCTTCCCTCCCTGACATCATCAGCCATTCACTGAAGACACTTGTGTCGTGTGGTTACTATGTGCTGATATTGTACTGGGCTCTGGGGAAGCACAAAGGAAGGAGGCTGTGTCTTTTCCTAACTGGTCTCAGTCTGGGAGTTGGACAGATGCCTGAACACATCTGTGCCTCACTGTATGAGATGCTGGCACAAAGACAGAAGCGGGAGCTGAAAGACTTAAACTATGTCCTTCGTTTCTTTCCAGATTAAAACAAAAATCTCTGAGTTCTTGATATTATGATTTTTTCTTTTGCTACTGCTGATAATATATTCCTTCTTATTTATTTTGGCCATTTAATTGCTAACAGGTCAGAAGGAAAGGCATTTTGTCTTGAGTGACAATACTGTAATATGAAGCTATGCTATTTTTACTGTGTCAGTCTTGAGCCTAATGAGCAGCCCAGGATCTGCTGGGGCTAGAGGATGGATCAGTAGGCTTTTCCATTATGTGTGTGAAGAATTTTAATTTCCCAAGGAGTGGGGTAGGATTTGAACCATTTGCTCACAATGCAGGCTGGGCCAATAATAAATATGCAATATCAAGCTGTTAGGCCTTCTCCTCCCAAGTCACAAAAAGCCATTTCCCTTGGGACAGGCTCAAGGAAGCTGATGGGTGCAAACTCACAGCAGGTTCCCTCTGGGTCTAGGGGGAAAGGCAGAGCTGGGGCATCCACCTTTCCTCTCTTTTATATCCAAATTTCTTTTCAAGCTTTCTAAAGAAAGAGAAACGTTTCTAAAGCACACACAAACCCACAGAAATGTAGCTGGCCCCTGGAGATTCTCAAGGGCCTGGTCAGTTTAAGTTGAAAAGCAAGATCACCATATGTGCTCTGGAAAAAAATTATGTGACACAAATTCATTGTGTACTGGGAACATTTAAACACAGTGCATAGGGTGCAAAACTGAGTAAACAGACTTGCGCTGACTCACTCAACTGCTTCATTTAAACAACAATCAACTCTGTAGTCCTATAGGTGCCAGGCATTAGGCAAGTCACTAGTCGCTGAGAATTCAAAGATGAGGTGATCTCCCAGTCGGCAGTTGTCTCAAGGACTCAGGCAATGAGTAGCAACTGTGTGGAACTGTAGAATCCTGAAGCAGGTCCATGTATCATGGGGCCTAATGCAAAGAAATAATAGCCTTGCAGTCAAAAGAGGCTGAATGAGAAATGAAGACTCTAGTCCTTCTGGTGCTCCTGGCTGCCTTATAGTGAAAGAGAACATTGTGACCTTGGCAAGTAAAGCACAGACCTTTTCACCTCCACACAAGCAGAACTAGTTTCAAGTTTCCAAAGCATTCCCCCAGCAATTCCCTCCCAAGAACAACTGAACTATGAACCTGGAATTTATCTGGTGGGGATTTTCCCTTTCCAAAACGCAGCCAAACAGCCACAGGGGGAAAAAAAATCACCTTTTAAATAAAAGAAACATGCACTTTGTTTTATGTGGCAAATTACTAGGGGCAGCTGTGTGTGTGTGTGTCTGTGTGTGTGTTAATACACATTTATGAGAAGAATTACAATTTCTCAAGGAAGAATTTCCAAGCAGAAATACCCTTAAAGTCCCATTCAACTGGGACATTTCTTCTTTTTTTGGAACCAGGAAAAATCCAGGCCTCTAATCTCCAACTTGGGTTGTGTTCCTCTCTGCAGTTTGAACCTGAGGCTACACTTTCCTTGCGATACTGCCCCCTACCAGTAGGCAATGCCTCTGCACATCATAATGGCAGTCGGTGAAAAGGATTTCTAGTTTGCAACCTCTGTATTCTAAAGTGATTGTATTAGCATTTCCCCTGACAGCAGAATCCAGCTTTAATTTTGATAAGGTGGACTTTCAAAGGCTTGAGGGAGAGAGGGAAAGGAGAGGAAGATGTTGTATCGAGTGTCTCTTGATCCATTAAATACCCCAGACAAGAATTGATCTTGTTTTACCTGGACAACAATCTCTTCCTTTTCATTTTTCTGACACAAGAGCTAATTAGAGTCCTTCCCACTTCTTAGGCCTGCCTGTTTTCCCTGTAGCCCATCTGGCCCTGTGTTTCTGCTTGGCTTCATTTAGCAGCTGGATACAATGTCAGAGATGATCTCCTTTTACTCAGGTGTTCCAGCCACCATAGTTCCATTCCCTCTCACTGATCTCTGACAACTATGCCTGGGATTTTTCTAGCCTCTCTTATGTCTCTGTCAGAGCAGACTGGTCCTTTGCTCAAAAGTTAGAGTGAATGGTACTCTGGGTTGGGCAAGACAAAGAAAGGGCAATTACATGTGTCCCAAAGTAGCTCCAAATCACCACCCAAAAAATGTAGATTGCATATTAGGAAATTTTATTTGAGAGAAGCAATTTTTTCTTTCATTATCTCAAGCAAATCATTCTTGGAGTGGTATTTCTTAAGCACCTACTGTGTAGAAGGCATTGGGCTTGGGCACATTTTTTCTTTCTTTGTTTTTTTTTTTTTTTTTTTTTTTTTTTTTTTTTTTTTTTTTTTTTTTTTTGGTACTGGGGATTGAACTCAGGTCCTTGCGCTTGCAAGGCAGGCCACTGAACTGCTGAGCTAAATCCCCAGCCCGGGTACATTTTTTCATAAGGGGCCAAATGAGCAGGAGGACAGGGACTACATGGACACTCCCAAACAGTTATAGGGCAAATAAGCAGGCAGTCAGGATTCATGAGCAACCTGAAGACTGGGGCTGGTATAGCGATAACGCAGTTCTCTTCCACCATGGGGAATATGTGCTCTGTTTCTGCACTTCTGTGGCCATAGCTGCCTCCAGCCTGCCCGCAGTTTCTGCTCACCTATACTACTGTTGGCTTGTCTTTTGCTAATCCTGGGGTGTCCTGGCCCTGTAACTTCTTGGCCTGTTCATGCCTGCCTTCTTTGGTGTCTTTTCAGTTACTTTGTGGGTTACCGCGTGCCTTACTCCGTCTGATGTTTGCATTCTTGAGCTGAGAATGGATTGTGTCAAGTAAGATATACATACCAGTCACAGCAGAGCTTTTGAAGGTGGCCATGACACAGGCTTCAGGTCAACCTTTAAGGCAGGAAAAAGACAAAGGAGGTGCGTCTGAGGAGTCTCACCCAGGAAGGTATCTGTCAGCTTTACTCTGAATATGAGCTGCCCCCTCTCCAGGTAAATAGGTAGGGAAAGGATTCTCAGGCAAAGGCAAAAGTGCATGTGACAGCTCTGAAGAGGACGGAGTTTAGATCAGCCAAAGAATCTGAAGGCAGCTGGCATGGCTGGAATGTGACAAGGAAGGAGGAGATAGAGGGAAGGAAAGGGCTGCCGCACGTGCCTGGCATCAGGGAGGAGGGCAGGTATAACAACCACTTCTACTTACTAATGGGATCAGTAGGACCACAGGTTGGTGACCTACTGCCTGCAGGCAGATCCAGACCACCACCCGCCTCTGTGTGAACCACTCTCTTATAATTCCTCAAATGCACAAGTGCATTCCTGCCTCAGGATCTTTGCACTAACCATTCCCTTCGCCTGGGCCATTTCCCTCATATATACTCATGCCATGAGTCTACATTCAGTTTCCATTCAAAGTTGTCTTTTCAGCGGAGACTTCTTCATTATCAAAGCACCCTTTGTCACCTGACATGACTTATTGATTTGTCTGTTTTCTGGGTCCATACGACAAGGTCAGGCACTTGGAACGTGGACTCTACTGTGTCTTCAGCTCATGGAACAGTGCCATTCACTTGGTGGGTTGGCAATCGATATTTATTGGATAAGTGAGTGACTGGTAAAGTCAACAATTTTATGCAGGTCTCTAGTGCTATGTCCCTCTTCACTGGATCATGTTATTGCTAATCCAAACTTTCTTTTAGCAATATTTACTCAGTTACAATTACAGAGGGCATGAGAAGTCCCAGTCCTACCTAAGAGCATCTTTCACAAAGGAAAAGTGGTCCCCAACATCTCCTCAGCTTTGGAAGGGTCTTCCTGTCCTGGAAGAAAATCATTCTAAGCAGCTGTAAGCAAAGGCAGACTCCAGCTTTCTTATACTTAGATGGGGAGGGAGACAACAGTCCTGTCCAGCTCTTGTCTTGCCTGTGGGAGCACCAGCATAGTGCACCTGGGCCTGCACTTCTAGTGACCATTAATTATTAGGATTATTATTATTTTCAGATTTCTCAGACACTTGGGCCCTGGAGAAACCTTGGCCCAACTAGGCTAACTATATAGCATCCTCCACACACTCATAGGACTCTGAAGGGAAGGGGGCAGCTTTTGTCACCAACCGACAGACCCTCTGGGCTGATATTTCTATGTGGTGGGGCCATCCTGTGCATTGCAAGAGGCAGAGCAGCATCCTGGACCTCTGCGTACTAAGTGCCAGTAACATTCTCCTGGCTGTGACAACTCGAAATATCTCCAGTTGTTGACAATTGCCCCCTGGGTGTCAAAATCATTCCAGTTGAGAATCACTGCTCTAAGGAGCTACTCCTTGCCTGGGACCTTCTCAAGGAGAGGGAGAAATGACAAGAAGCTACTGGTGTCAATAAGACAAATCTTGCTGAGTTGAATGACAGCCCATGTAACAAAGTATGTATGTTTAAAGGTTTAAGAGAGGCAAGAGGAAGTCAGGTGAAGCCCCTTCAAATTGGGGAATCTGAGAAGGGACATGACCTAAGCTGGGGGAGGAAGGGTCTTGAGAGAGGAATAAACAGTAGGCAGATTCCAGCTTGGAAGGGAAGTCTTTAGGTCCCAAGGGAACCTAACAAGGAAAGGACCCATGAGACTCTCTGCTCCTGTGGCTTCAGCTGGACCAGCTCAAGTTTATACTACGCTAAAGCA